GCAGCCATTTATTTCTTGTCTATTCCTCTGCTGTTTCAGTACCGTTCTATGAGAGCAGGGTTTGTGTTTTCTTCCTGGTATTATCCCGAGGGTCTGAAATTGGGACTAGCATATGGTAAACAGGCAATAAATATTTGCAGCATGAATGAATGGTTTTATTAAGTAGGAAACCAAGACTTAGAAAGGCCCAAGGATTTCCCCAAAGGCACAGGGACTGGGGAAAATGAGAAGAATCCATACTTTATACAAAGCCACACCATGTCCCCTGATGGTCCTGATGCTGAGCCCATGTGTCTTCTCTGAGGCTCAGGGGCTTTTGCTTAATTGGGTCAGATGGCCCCAGAGGTGTCTCTAGTTCTGAGGTTCTATGTTACATTGCTAAGTATCTATTTTGATGAGGGGATCATGGGGGCTCTGAGAAACACCAGATTTGGGGAACCCCTCAGCCTCTCCTCTAGCATAATTCTGAGAAGCCAGCCTCTGCTAGGAACAGCGACAGGATGCTGTTTGAAAAGGAGCCTTAACTAGTGGGTCTTTTAGGAAAAGGGGACATTCATCTGAGTCTCAAAATATGAACTGTGCCCCAGGCTGAGCCTGCCCAGAGAACACCAGGAAAGAGGAGGACAAGACAAAGCTCCCAGCCTGGTTCTGGCTTCTGTTCTGTTCTCCCCAGGAGGCTGCCTCTGTAGCTAATTACAGTCAGTAAAGGAAATGGGAAACTGAGTGCTAATGAACTGATTTTTCCCCCCTTTCCCCCAGGTGCTTTCTTTGCAGAGAACTGATCCTTTGAATTTAGAACCCTGGGGCCTGGCAAGATAGAACCGATTAAGGCCAGCTGAACAAGCACATTCTACTATCAGGTCATGGCTAGAAGAGCGTTTGCACCAGGCAGTGGGGTGTGTGGCAGAGGATAATGCTACCAGGATGGAATGCTCTAATGCCCTGGCATCACCGGCCCCAGACAGCTCACATTTGGATAGCATCCTGCAATTTACAAAAAGGCTTTTGTAGCTCTCATCCCACTGACTGCTCACAGCAGTTTCCGGATAAAGGCAAGGTAGCTCAGGAAGCTGTGACCTGTCATGTATCGCCCAGTTACTCACAGCCCTGCTTAGCTTTTGCCCTAGCCCTCACCCTGGAGTTCATGCCTCTCTTTGAACCCTTGGGTAATGGCTGATGCTTTTCCCGATGTCTCTGAGATAGGAGCAAAGGGTGGTGGGCAGGTGCCTGTTACACCTCCCTATACTCTGAGAAGATTTAGCATGAACTAAGGCTTCAAAGTCTAAAACTAAGCAGTTTCAGGAGAATGGAGACCATAAGCAATCTATTTCCCAGAGGAGGAGGGAGATGCAGAGATGTAATTTTCCTCAGAAACAAAGGGTGGAAAGCAGGATTTTAACACCGTGTTAGTGAGGGCAGGCTATGCTGGCTCACAGGGAGGAATAACCACAAAACATCAGCATCTTGGAAGCTAGGACTATTCGGGGGTAGAGCTCTGTTCGGCACACACAACGCCTTTGGTTTGATCTCCAGACAACCCCCAATTCAATATCTTAGCAAAATGAAGATGAATGTCTCCCTCAACTCCCATGTTTTATCATGAATTGACAAAGGGACTCTGTTTTACACAATCACTCAGGAGCCCAGGCAGAAACCACTGTGAAGCTCACAGCTTGGAACTGAAACTGGGTACTTGGACGCTCTTTTTCTTAACAGACATCAATTCCTGATTTAGGCCCACAAGATCATTAAACACAGGACAAGAGCTGGCATTTCGGCCTTCATTTGTCTGCTGTTCCCCTCTACTTTGGATCACCTGTTTACACACAGGCACTTTAATCATCCAAAGAGTGTCTGTCTATCAAATCTATCTTATCCCCTTCAAGGTTGAAGGCACAGAGACAAATCATTGTCTTAAACCTCCAGTCACCCTGAATTCACAGCAGAAATTCACAGGCCAGAGATTCCCCAGCCCCCATCAGATGAGGGTAACTGTCCACAAATGGCAAAGAAGCACACTGGAGCGGAAGTGGTCATCTTCGAGGAATATATCTGATCCTTTCAAGTGGTGGCAGTGACCAGAACTTCTTCAGACCACCCTGCAGAACCAGAACTGAGAAAATTATCAACCAGACCATACTTGGACCAGGATTGCTTAATTAGCCACACTTGCCCATCTACCCCAATTCTTCCTCTATGTAACCTAAACCGCATGTTACTACTTTGTAAACTTGGGAGTCCCTGGACCCCTTTATTTGTCCTTCCTAATTGAATAGATCTCTTCTCTCTTCTTTATCGTTACCCATGTCTTTAACTGGTGTATTGGCAGGAGTGGCTGAGCCTACCAGGTTTGGACTGACAGTATCCAGGCTTTCACCCTAGAAATTCTAACAACACAACTAAAGGGCTCCTGCCACTAGGGCAGGAGAAAAAAACTGGAGCAACAAAATGTTTTGGCCTGGAAGTGACATATCACATCCATTTATAGCCTATTGACCCAAAGTAATCTAGTTGGCATTGTCCATCAGTCAGGGACTCAGCAAGAGAAATCTCAGCATCAGCAAACACCAGTCATGGCTTATCACCTTGGCCTTACCAGAGCCAAGGCTCTTCATGGCCAATCTGTACTTTCATCCAGCTTGAGCACTGGTTAAATTCTCCTAGGTGTGGTGTTTCACAGGTTCGACTATACTTGCATTCCTCCAGCACATGCTGATTAACTCCACTGTACTGGGTGATGGGATACTAATTATTGTGGACCAGGTGTGGTGGCACTCACCTGTCATCCCAGAACTCAGGAGGCAGAGCCAGGAGGATTGCCCCAAGTTCCACGACACCCGGCCTTACATAGTGAGTCCCAGTCCTTCTTGTACTATAGAGTAATATCATTTCAAAATAGATAGACATATAGATTTGTGATAAAGTAATGCGTTGCCTCTGCCTCCAACTGTAGTTTAAGGTTTATCGGACATGGGACACATGTCTGTAATCCCAGCACTTGGGAGGAAGAGGCCAGCCAGGAGTGAGACCCTGTCTTAAAATGAAACAAACCCACAAAAGCCCCTAAACAGTAAAGAAGGAAAGTGCTAATGTGTCAGACATAACACCCTAGGATCAAAGCAGAAGTTATAAATGAGTGTAGACCAGCTTGAGGCTTCTCAGGGTGGAAAAAGGGTGATTCGTGAGTTAGGTGAGACTCTTTTTAGGGTAAGGCCTTTGAGGTGGACTCTGGAGAAGAGGTCAAGGGCTCCTCCAGGCAGAGACACAGCAGCAGAGAAACGCAGGGCAAACAAGGCACAGTCCGTCTCACTGGGTTGAAAGGTGGGGTGTGGCAAAAAAGGTGAGTGGTCTGACTCCTTGAGAGGATAACTTGGGATCATACCCTGGAGGAGTTAGAGCTTTTCTCTTTGATTAGAAAGTGCAGAAAGCCACTGTCTAAAGCTAGGCCAAGAGCTTATGTCCTGAGTCTGAAGACCTCACAAGGAGGGAGTGGCTTCTAAAGCATCTGAAGGCTTGCTGATAACGGTCGTGTCTTTATTATTTGTCCTTGAGCCTTAGATAACTTCCATGAGGGGCTGGAGTCAGGATGGGATGTAATGCATAGAAATAAGTATGGCCTGTATGACCTTCTTGGGGTTCATAGGTTTAGGCCTTTGGATAAGTGGGGTGCTATACACAGTCTAGTCTCACAGTAACGCTGGCCCTGTACAGGGTCCTGGTGCCCACAGCACAGGAAGCATCCTACCCAACATCATTTGGCCTGATCACTCGGGCCTCCATCTCTGTCCGTCTACCTTTGCATTTTGCCCTGCCCCACCACCCTCTTCTTTCTGTTTCTGGATCCAATCCATGCCGCTGCTGCTTCTTTAAAGACAAACAAACATGCCAGGTGGCGGTGGCACATGCCTTTAATCCCAGCACTCGGGAGGCAGAGGCGGGCAGATCTCTGTGAGTTCGAGGCCAGCCTGGTCTACAGAGTGAGATCCAGGACAGGCACCAAAACTACACGGAGAAACTCTGTCTCGAAAAACCAAAATATACATATAAACAAAAGCCCCAAAACTGTGTTGATTCAACTCACCTGACTGTGGCCTCTGGATTCACCCTGCACCTGGGCCTCATTTCTCCAAACTCCAGCCCCTGAGGCAGCTGCACTCTTCTGGGATAAACCTTCAGAGTTGGAATCTATAACCCTGTGGTAATGGCTTGCACCTGCTCCCCTGCCGTCCTCCCCCCTCCCCGGCCCCCAATGCCTGACACCTGATGCATGTAGGACATGAACTCTACCAACTGCACTCTATCCCCAGCCTTGCGTTCTTTCTTTTTCATCTCTCATATTCTGTTTCTAGCGATGTTCTGTGTTCCTTGTATGTAAAAAGGCTCCCAGGACAGTCTTGACTTTACTTGGTCGTTGACCAGACGAGGACAACAAACCACGGCCTTTCCCTCATAACTTACAGCTTCAAAATCATTATCTGTAAACGGTTCCGTCAACCCTGGACCACTCCTGTGAGGTGAGCAGGATGCACAGTCCATTAGGTAGAGCGTGCGGCTGCACCATCAGCTTCTGCACTTTTACTACCAGCAGCTCGAAAGGTCAGAGACCTGCAGACTGCTTTTACCCAGACCACGGCATCGGAATATATAAAACAGCCCAGATGTGTGCCGAGTCCCAGTCCCTGTGGGATCTGGGCTGCCGATGCCGAGCCTCCGGTTTCTTTATCCTCACAGTCAAGCCTGGCACCAAGCATTCGGATGCCACAAAAGCACAGAGCCCTTCGCCCTAGAGCTGCCAGAATGGGCCTCAGGCTTCTCGAATGCTCACAGACTGGTGGATAAAATGTCTATCACATGACCTTGAAGTGAAGATACATAACTTTTACAATCTCGATCTTCAACCCTCCCCCCCCCACAAAAAAAAAAACCTGGACCATTTCACACAAAACTGAGCAGCCTTTTAAAGTAACCAATTGCTCATATATTAAATAACACAAACATAGTACTTTTTAAAACATTTATATTTATATATATAAAATTAAATATATAATATATAGTGTGTTTGAGGCTAAAAATATAGTACACAATATTTTTTTTTTAAAAAAAAGGAAAAAAATGTCAGAATAGGAAAAGGTGTAAAGGACACACAGATACACATTGCTAAAAATCTATGATGGTTTGTCCTAACAAAAATACTTTTTTTTTCTCTTAGTTGTCATCATGGATCCATTTATGATGAGGATTTTGGTAGAGATAATTTAACTGGCATCAGAAATGGGGATTGCAATCCCAGGGACGGCGGGGGTAGACAGTCTGACCCCAAGAGCCCTGGGTGCCCTGTTACAAGTGGCAGCATGGCCTTGTAGGTCACTTTTGCTAAGGAGCCTGCTTTTGTGGTATCAGCAAATTGAATGCTCTCTCCCCAGAGAGCTGGCATTCCCAGGGGCTGTAGACAGCTCCTGAAAGCAACAGAAGAACCTGGCCACCAGTTTGCAAAGGCCAGTGGTTGGGGGCAGCAAGCAGCGAAGATGGGCTACCGAGACTGGTAAGTGGTGGTCTATGCACACAAAATTATTACTGCTATTAAGAGTAGGCTTGCACCAGAAGTTCCCAGTATGGCCTCTGTCTTCTGTGCAACAATTGTTTTCCTCTGGGAAAGGGCCCTGGGGTTCCCTCACAGTGATGCAGGAAAACTAAATGCTGCACCCTCCTCTCAAGTCTGTACTCTGCCAAGCCACGGCCCTCAGTCCTCTCCACTGAACCATGGCTGGTGTCAGTGGCAAGCCGGCAAGGGTTAGCCAGCACTGGCCGGAAAGCATTGCTTTTAGGAGAAAAGGAAAAATACCATGGGAGGTGGGAAGGATGCAGGGGGAAGGGGATGTTCTGTTTAGGTGACAATTTAATAGTCCTTTCACAACAGTTAATGCCTCACCAATGGAGTCTTAAGGTCTGTGTACCTCGGCGTTCTATTATCAGCTAGGCACTAGGCCCTATAGGTGTAGAGCATGCCTGGGCTCAGATTGCACAGAAGTGAACTAGTAGGAAAACCAGGGTTTTTGAGGCTGCAGTGGCCTTGGGAGGTCATGTGCTTCACCCACAGGGACAGAACTGCTCACACAGCAGGATGAGGCAGTGACTGAGCCAGCGGACTCCACATGTCCACACAGGATTTACCACGAGTTTCTATAAATCCCAACTGCCTCACATTGCTATGGAGTGGGCCAAGTATACAGGGTCACCCAATCCCGTCTTAACTGGCCCAGGAGCTGTGGCTCCTGCCAGAGCACCCACATGTTGACAGAGCACAAGGGGCAAGACACAGGTCAGTGTGCCCCATCCCACAGGGCAGGAGTTCCTGTCAACAGAGAGAGGGAAGCAGCTGCCAGCGTGAGGAAAGCCTATCACCAGAACCGTGGGAGCTGAGCATTGCCCCCATTCCTGGCTCCTTTCTCTCATAATAGATTTTGCTTTGTGTATATTCTGTGGTTAGACTTTGAGAGAACCAGGACTCAGCAAGCAGGCTGGGCTCTCTACAAAGAGCAAGGCCTATCCGGAGCCACAAGGACTTTTTGCATATGCAGAGTTTATGTTAAAACCGCTAACCCCTTCTTCCTGCACCAGCTTCCATAGGCTTCACCTTGCTTGGTAAACAGGGAGAGCCGCCTTTGGGCCAGATGACTGTCCCCGAAGACCTAGAGGAAGGCAGCTTCCCTATCTCCCCCAGTCTGCATCCACAGTAAAGGAAACCGAGCCCTACCATGATCACAACAACCTGTTGAACCTAAGAGAAGAACAACAGATTGCTTCATTTCTCTCATGGTTAGGGTGATGGACAAGATTAAGAAGTTTGTGGTACAGGCAGGCCTCCCCTGCCCTAACCCTCACCTTGATTGCTTACTGTTTCTGGGTTCTTTTGAGAGATGGGCAATCCTGACTTTGGCCTCCCCAGATGAACACAGCCAAGACAGAATAGTTGTAGGTAAAGACCAGAAAATTGGAGGCAATGAAAACAGAGGTCAGATCATGGTTATTCAGCAAATGGCAGCTGCAGAACAGGGTCATGGATCTCTTGACTCCTGGTTCCTTATTCTTTCAACTAAAGCAATAACACTTGGGGTGCTTAGAATCATTAAGTAACAGGGCACCAACATGCTGGTACCAACTAGCTTCAGATGCAAGAGCCCCATTATTAGGGGACCTTCAATTCCCCAGACACACAATTCCACTGGTCATTCAGCAGGGCGGAACTCTGATTCTGATTGCAGAATCTGAGTGGCCGGAGACCAGTCTGTCTCAGTTGCTGCTTCCTGTGCCTTGCATGGTGCTTGATAACCACAAATTCCTGCAGGGCTTGACCTTAGTGATACTCTTGTTTCCATGGGAGGGACCTACTGCTTAAATCAGAGAGAAATAAGAGAATCAAGCCAAACCCCAAACAAAATGATTATTTTAGAGACTATTGATGTTTAAAATGCCACTCTAGTTAGACTTGGAAGTGTTTGGATCACCCATGGCTTCAGGTGTCAATGAAAATGAAAAACTTACATGAATTCATATTCACAAGAACCTGCACTATACGTACACACACTGCCTCACTGAGTTCTCATGAAAGGTCTCTGCAAGTGTGAGTCCTCTGAACTGGAATCCAGCTATGAGCCTGTCAATGATACAGGGAAGGCCCACTCTGTGCAGACGCAGTGACTGGAGTACAAGAGGAAGCAAAGGCTGTCTGCCAGGCTGGAAATGGAGCTCCTTGATTCCCGGTACCCAGTCCTCATCAGAAAGGAGATGGCTGAGAATGTCACCCCACAGGCCCATCTATAAGGTTAGTGATAGACCGTGGCTGATGAGCATGTAAGTCATGAGAGTAAACATGACTAATGAATGGTGACCAATGAGAAAAGGCAAGGGGTACTCTGGGAGTACTCCCTCCCATCATGTAGGCCTCAGTGGGGAGGTGGACAGTTGACTCCAGATGGGCAGAAGTTTCTTGGGAAAGTGAGGCTGAAACATGAGTTACAGATTCTCTTTGGTCAGAAGGTGGTAGATGAGAAGTGGAGTGGAATGTATGTGTGTGGTCATGTGTGTGCTGTGTGGGAAGAGACAACATAGGCCATGGAATACAACGCCTGAAGTGTTCTTCTGCACTGGGGGCTCCGTCTAGGTCAGGAAGAATTTCCCTTTGGAGCCATGTCCAGGTCCCTTCCCTTCACATCCCCTCATTTGTCTGTCCTTGACGCTAACATAGTACAACCTGGAGCTCACAAGCTCCTGCTCCCCACACAGGGACAGCATCACAAACCTGACACTCAAGGCACTGAAAATGGAAGAAGAAATTTGATTGGCCTGGGGGTGGGTTAAGGAGGAGACAAAACCAAACTTTGTCTGGATAAAGCATTTACCATGTCACCTGCAAAGGGAGCTATAACTAGGGTGAGTCCCAGGGCAGGATCGTAGTGTCTGAGGTTCAGGACTGCTTAACTCTATCAGAATCCAGCAGTAGGCAGGTCTCACCATTTGGATGGATGTAATAGATTCAAAGTGCTTGGAGACTCAGAATAATGCAAGGTGTTAGGAGCCTGGTGGAGGACAGGTGTCCCTTTCCTTTCCATGGGGACTTGTATATAGTGGGGAAAACCCCTAGAGCATTGCTTTCCAAATGAGTTTTTTATTGTCTTTGAAAAACATAGCTCCGTGACACCTCTGCCCTACCCTATTCTCCAAGGCTCAAGAGTTAATACCAAGAAGTGGGGCAATAACATGAAAGAAGGAAGCTGGTGAGGGTCCCACTACTGTTGGCTCTGGGAACTGCCAAGTAGTACACAGTGGTCCCTGGCTAGTCAACCGGGACACGGTCCTGACCATTCTTTGTTCACATCCATCTGACCGGTCCAGCACAAAGTTGAGAGAAAAGGGAGCCATGTTACCAGGGATTTCTGGAACCCTCGGCACTCAGATAGCCACAGTAAGTAGCCACGATGACTGGCATTTTGACCCCAGCTGGATTTGAACTCATTGTCCCATCTGTAATCCCCTGAGATGGGAAAGATGAACACAAGGTATGAAAGAAATCAAGAAAGGGACTGGTGGGCTGTCCCGCATTCCGGCTGCCTGGACTAGAGCTGCCTAGGCCAACGCCCACCCACCTCAGCATATCTCCATGCCCGCTTACGGGAGATCAGAGGAGCAGGACAGAAAGGAAATGGTAATATGTGCTCTTTCCTCCTTTGCCCTCTGGCCCCCCCACCCCAGCCTCCACTGCCCTGTGCCCATGCGTGGGTCAGGTATGAACAGACGTCAGTAGAGACATCCTCCCGAGGAAGGGCTCAGCAGGCCTAGGAGAGTGGGGCATGCCCAGAGCACCATCCTTGGGACGGGGTGTTACTGGGAGACCTGCTCCTTATTTGTGACGGCAGGAGGAAGAAGGCTGGGTCCAAGAAAGGAGCAGCGAGCAATGTCCCTGAATGTCAGGGAAGAGCTGGGAAGCCTTCTCCTCTGCCCCGCAGAGGTACCCCAGCCAGACTCCAGCCTCTACACATGAGTCTGCATGCGCTGCTGAAATCGCTGGCCGTAGTCTGAGTGCTGAGAGGTGTAGGAGAATCGAGTGGCCGTGGCATACTTGCCAATAGGGTCATATGCCTCATAGGGGGTCCTCTCCAAGCCGGATGGTGGGGCCTGGGGGTAGCCTAGACGGTAGGTAGGATACCCGGCTGGCCCGGGGAAAGGGTGGGAGTTGAACTTCTCATAGTTCTCGTAGGACAGCTGGCTGGTTGTATCGGTGCCACCTGGAGCAGAAGGACCAGAGGGTGGGGGCTCTGTGCCATAGTCAGAGGCAGGGGCCCGGCTGTACGTGTTGAGCTGGGCATAGCCACTGGAGTGGGAGAGGCGAGATGATGGGCGGCCATCAAAACGTGTAGGGCCAGGGGCACGGTAGTCAGCATATAGCACCGCCCTGGAGGAGGGGCGATCTTCGTGGGCACGCACATTGTAATAACCGTTGGTGGGATCCTGGGGGAAGGCAGCGAGAGAAGAGGGTAAGAGTGGGAGTCTCCTGTAGGGTAAGAAGATCTGAAACGGTCTTCTGCCCAGGCCCACACCAAGCCACGTTCTTCTCCTCTTCTCTCCCGGCATCACTCTATCTTCTGTTCCCTCTGTAGACTTCTTGACCACTCCTCCCAGGCTGTCCTCACCTCTCCCTGCAGACCCTCCTTTCCCATTTCCCTTGTGCCTCGCTTCCATCCCTTTTCCCACCTTCATCTCATACTCTTCCCGCGTATCAATGGTGTCACAGCGCAGGTCCTGCTTCAGATCCACATCATCCTTAAAGGACTAAAGAACAGGAGCGGGTGTCAGGAGACGGACGCTGCTTTTACCCCCTCCCCCACCTCTACCAATTCCATGCCCAGAGGCCACCAGCTAAAGGAAGCTCTGGGTTAGGGCAGACTTGTGTCTCACTTATAGGCTGAGGTAGGAGGACACCAGGGACCCGGGCTTCAAGCATGAGCTTTGTTGCTAACATGTAATATGATACCTTGAGTATGCCATTGCTGCTGTCGGGGAGCACATCTCAGCAATGAGGAGGTTGAACCAAAAATATCTGCAGATTTCCCTCCATGTGAGGGAAGGATGGGGCAAAGGAAGTTGGAGGGGAGGGGAAGGGAGAGCAGCTTTGCACATGTATGTAAAAGTGTATGTATATGAGTAGGTGTGCGTGAGGGTGCCAATGTATGTCAAAGTGTGAGTGTGTCTATTGGTGAGCAGGTTGGTACAGAGGAGTTGGAGTGGCAGGAACTGGTTAAACTCACTGAAGAAGAGGAGGTGACAGAAGCTATTAAAAACGGGTGGGGCTGGCCTTAGGACTACGAAGCGCCTAGGCCAGTGAGATGCGTGGTCCTCACCGAGTAGATGGCCTTCATGACCCGAGTTGCTGTGGAAATGCTGGCGGTATCATCCTCCCGGTCAGAATGCATTGTGAGCGGCTCCCGATTCACTGTCTCCACCTTGATGTCCAGCTTCCTCAAGGTCACATCCTTTCGACCTAGGACAGGGAGGCGTGCGTGGGCCAGGTACTTTCTACTGGCCTCTGTGGCACTGGCTCCCAGCCCCCACGCCACCCCTTGCTGTGACCCTGAAGGGTAAGGCGGGGGAATGCAGGGTTTGCTGTGGCTGGGCTGAGCCTGTACTCACTGCCTTTGCGACGGCGGTAGAGGAAGAACACCAAGGCGACAAAGAAGAAGATGACCAGGATGCCTGCGCCAATGGTGGCCCCAGCAATGATGCCCACAGGTAACACTTCTACAGACGGAGAGGAAGAGCAGGGGTGAGGATGGAGCCATGCGGGGACCTGAGGACTTGGCCACGAGGTACTGCAGCAACTCTAGATTAGGGACAAAGCTAAGCTTGGCCTGAGCTGGGCCGTGTTGCTATCTAAGTCCAGGCCACACTGGACAAGATCTGGGCTGAGCCTGCCTTGAGATCTGTGCTTTAGTTTACCAGAGTTCACATCAGGGTAGTGTTCCATCCCTGCCATCAGTTGGCCTCAGAGCCCAACAATCCATGAAGCTTGGTCCCTCCTTCCTGTAGTAGGTAGCTGTTCCGGCTTTGACCTGGAAGCACTACCTCCAGTGAGGCTTCCAGTAACTGTCACGCCTACCTAGGACCGGCCCCTGAGGTGGGGCCAAGAGGGGAGCCCTTAAGACCCTAGATCCGGATGTGCCGGCTCTCTTGGTTCCTGGTGACCCTGGATGCTGGATGGTAGACCGATCGGAGTTCTCCAGAGAACCCAGCTGGACTGCACCTCACCTCTCCCTGATCCTGTAACCAACCCCTTTACCAGCTGTAAGTTACCCGCCAAAATAAAACTCCTTTTTAACTACGTGGAGTTGCCTTAATAAATCCTCTAATACCTTCCTGAGCTGGGCTTTTGTCTGAAGTCAGCTCTCTCCAAATTCCCATCTGCCATGTCTGTTTCAACCTCCTCTATGACCTTTCTTGCCTGCAAAACTGTCTCTTCTACTTGTGCTGCCCACTTGTGGCTCCAACGGTCCTCTTTAGTGCCCCTGCCTCCCTAGCTGATAACAAGTCCAAGAATTCTCCCGTTGGTCTTCTGTCTCTCTCTGGAATTACTAGTCGGATCCAGACTCTGGCTATGGATCTGCCTCTGAGATCCTTCCTCCTGAGCCCCACATTACTCTGTTCCCACACCCACCCTGCAGGCATCTTTAACACAACCTGAACTGTTAGCTTTCCCAGACATTTCCCAGGGGTCCCCCAGAGTCTCCATCTCTCTCTTTTCCATGACTAGTTCTCAAAATCAAACAGGTGTTATTTTTCCTTCGCCAAACATCTGTCAAAGTCTAGACACCTGCTTCATCTTGCCAAAGGTACCTGAGAGAATATATCTCTTCTATAAAACCATAGATGCTCGAAGGGGTAGGGGAAACTTTAATTTTACAAAAAAAAAAAAAAAAAAACCCATTCAATCCTCTCAATAACTCACTGACTTAGGTGGTGCTAATCTGCTGCATGTATCGTTTAATTTTCCTCTGCCTGGATTCGTTTGTTTCCACTCTAGAAGTTCCTTCACTAAGATGAAGGTTTCTCGTGGGCAGAGATGATGCCGTGTTCACACCCGCAACCCTTCCTTCGGAGTTTGACATATAAAGACGTTTCAGGGAACATTTACATAGTAGATTAATTAGCCGAGCACTAAAGTCAGCTTCCGGCAGAGAAGCGAGAGAAAGAGAGAGAGAGAGAGAGAGAGAGAGAGAGAGAGAGAGAGAGAGAGAGAGAGAGAGAAGACGAAGCTTCAGGCTCTCCTGAGTGGCCCCCATGGCTGACCTCGCTCTTCCAGCTGGATGATGGCAGTGCCTGGCCCGAAGCTGTTCCAGGCAGTGCAGTTGTAGTGGGTCTGGAAGTCGGCCTCCATGACGTTGTTGATGGTGAGTGTGGACAGCACACCACTTCCTGAGTTAGTCCTCTCCACAGTGTACCGCTCCAGGGTCCCCACCTCCAGGAAGTTCTCCTTCCATGCCCAAGCCTGGGGTGGGGAAGGCAGGATGGACGTAAGAAAAGGGTACGTGGAAGAGGCACATGCCCCAAAGACGCCTAATCCACTCTCAGGTAGTCTTACCCCAGCACCCAACAATCCTTCACCCTGAAACAACCTATGTCACACCAGCTACCACAAATCCTTGACACTGAACTTCTGTTCCAGGAGCTGTGGCTCCCACACAGTCATCAGATTTCTCTAGAGAGACTCTGAAAACTACTACCTTGAGACTTATGTACCAAGTATGAATGTAGGGGAGAGATCCAGGAACCTGCTTCTACAGAGCTCCATGCTACAAGTATGACATTGTGTGGTATTTTGTGATGTGGAAGCAGCTGAGCGAAGGAGCCAATGTTTGAATCTTCGATGTTGTAGGGACTTGAGATCCCTGGGCTCCAGCTCATATACTCCCACCCCAGAGCAGCTACATGGCCAAGCTTTCTCTGTCTAGGCCTCCTTTTCTTCTTCTCTGAAGTAGCAGATTCTGGCCAGCATAGAGCAATGCTCAACCCTGTGATTCGAACGGCATACATGTCTATCTTACCAGCCTTACCATTAATCAACCCACAGAAACCTGCCTGGCTCTCTGGAGATGCATCTGCCTGCTCTTAATTATGAGCAGGGAGTCAAGGGGAGTGTCCCCCAGGCCTCCCATCCCTGACCTCCCCAGCTGAGGCATTCCCAACTGTGTGTTCTCATGACAGAGGGGAGGCTAAGGAGGAAGAGCAGCCAAACGCTGGCTCCTTTCCAGGGATCAGGCCTCCCAGCTCCAGGAGGCAAACCTCCCGGGAGCCAAACCGTCTTCTGCCTAGGCAGCTGTGGTAATGAAGCATCCCTGGGCAGCCCCGGAGTTAGCCAAATGGTCATTAAATGTGATGAGGGTTTTGATGGTTAGTGGCCACAGGAGGAATTCATTGTTTATGGTGTAGGGGAGTGAAGAAAAGAGTGAGGAATGGTCAGGGGCTGGTGGAGGGAAGCCAGGCAAAAAGAGAAACGAATGGGACAGGTGGGAGGGAGAAGTGATGGGGAGGGAGGAGGGGGCAGGCTGGCGGAAGGAGGGAAGAGGGGAGGGGAAGGCCAAAGAAAAGACTGGGGGGCGGGTATAGCCAGCCAGGGTGGAAGATGAGGGAAGAGAGAGAAAGGACCTTCACCAGGGATGGGAGGGAACCCACTGTCCTCTGACTCCAGGGAACTAGGTGCTTTACAACTGCTGCTGTAGTCGCTGATACATAGGGATATGGCCTCCTCTTCGAGGATGAGGAGCTGAGTGAGGCCCAAACCACTCATCTGTCCAGGGTCACACAAGTAAGGGAGGAGGTAGAATTTGGGCAGATAAAATGATACAGAAGCTAAAAAGGCAGAGGATTACAGAACCAGAAAAGGGTGGAGACACTGAAGGTGCAAGCCAGAAGAGGGGAGGAGACGCTGGGCAGGTGTGGACACATCAGGGCTGCCCGGCACTCACAATCCGATCTGGAGGTGGGGTACTCCCGATGAAGCACTCCACCTTTCCACCATCACCCCTCACAGCAAACTGCACCGCCTCGCTGGAGATAATGGGGGGTCCTACAAGCAGGAAGACATACACAGTCAGGCCAGGCAAAAGCCGTGGTGCTTCTCTGCTGGGTCTCGCACCCAAGGGCACTCACCATTTACATACAGCGGTACCTCTCGCTCAGCCACTCCGATTCGAGGCACGATGGCCCGGCAGGTATAGGTGCCAGCGTCTGCCTGAGTCACTGACTTCAGCAACAGCTGATTGCTGTTACTCAGGACCTGGGCAGAGAGATTAGCCTCGGGTGGGGAGCCAGGAAGCCTGGGCCCCTAGGTCGGTGGGGGCCCCGCATCAGAGGCATGGGAGAAAAAGCATGAAGGGCCACAGGTGAATTCCCAGAAGGCAAATGGGTTCCTGAGTCTGGTTGACCCATCCCCTGACTCTAAGCAGGCTGGCAATAAGGCTACCATTTGTACAAGAGCGGGCAGGTATTGGCTACAGCAGTTGTGAAAGAATACAGTCCTTTCTGACGGTCTGTCCCCGTGCTTTTATTACTAAGCCAGAGAAGACGGTTTATTTTGAAATCCCTCTTTACATCCTGGCCCAAACTGTCTAACACGGGTCTTGAGAACTGCGCACTGGGACTTTCTTATCCAGCTCCACCCCCTCCCTGGGGACCAATACCGCACTGAATCTGTGACTAGTGAGCAGTACCACCTGCCCCCTTCATCCTCATCACCCCGAGTTCTATGCAAAGCCCAAGGAGGGGTATGGCTGATTGCAAGTATTCTCTTCTCTCCCAAATCCCAAGACCCTAGAAAGGTCCCAGTTTTGATCTGAAAACCCATTCCTGACCCCTCCCCACATTGTCTTCCCTGGGATTTCTGTGTTCCTTCCTCCCAGCGCTCCGCACAGGCAGGGAGAGGTTTACCATGTTGGAGTCCTTCTTGGTCCAGGTGAGGGTGAGGGGGGGATTCCCAACCCAGACACAGGTGAGGGTCACATCAGAGCCAATGTCTGTGGTCGTGGGCTTTGGGTCAACTACAATCCGGGGGGCAACTGAAGGAGGGAGAAGGGGCTGGTCAGAATCACAGGGCCTGAGTGTCGACTCCAATCTGCCCTCTTTCTGCTCCTGTCCACTACCTCCCCGAGTGTGTTCCCGTCTCTCCAGCTAGGCAGGGCTTCTCCTCCCCTGTACCCAAGGGACGTTGAAGGCCCCTGCTCTCTGTCCCCCGCCGCTGCCCTTCCAGCTACTCACAGTGAACATTCACTAAAGTGCTGACGTTGGTGCTTCCCACTTTGTTGTGGACCTCACAAGACACAGGCTCCGTGAAGAAGGAGTAATCAACGTTCGTCTCATAGCGACTCTCGTGGGCGTCTTCAATCAAGAACCCCCCTTTGGCCCACCTAGAGGATGAGGCAGCACAGGTGTGAGAGCAGAACTTGGGACTCTCTCCCCTACAGTAACCCCACCACTACCACCACCACCACCACACCCGTCTCAGGGGCCTATATCCATTTATCACTTGCATAGCACTCCCAGACCCCGACCCTTTCACCTGTAGCCCAAGATCTCAGGGTTGGCTGTGGCCTGGCACGTGAAGATGACTCGCTCACCCTCCTGCACGGTCTGAGGCTCAATGGACAGAGTCACTGTAGGAGGATCTGCAAAGGAGGCAACAGGAAGTCAGGGTCTTTTCTTCTCTCTCCCTCCGTAACAGATGCATTCATACCACTCTGATGTGAAATGAAAATTCAGGTTTACAAAGTATCAGCTATCACCCTCACCCTTTCTACACAGTCTTTTCCAGGGGCCCTGGCCAAGAACGATACTGAAGAAACCAATTAGCCAATGGAGGTAATGATCCAATATGGCCACTAGGTGCCACTGTGGGTCAGTTTAGCTTACTGTCAGGGATAGGGTAAGAGCATCCTTGACTAGAACAGATGCCTTGGAACATCTGCCGGGAAAGCACACTCTAGCCATGCTAGACGTTCTTGTGCCATAACTTCTTTAACACTCACACCTTTGGTAAGCAGATATAATACTGTACTCAGTGCTCCATCTACCAACATTATTACTCATGGATCAAACAGGAAAAGAGAGGAGTGTGGGTCCTGGGCTTCTCAGATCCCCATTCTGTGCCTCTAAATCTGCCCATGTTCTGTCCCCACCTCACGTACCCTACCCAGGACTCCACTTACGGTGTACATCCAGCTCAATGGATGTCTCCCTCCCATTGGGGATGGCTTCATTCATGCTGCGGCAGGTGAAGACACGACCAATGTCTAGGTCTGTGGGGTGAATGAGCAGCTGGCTGATTGTAGTCTCTCTTTTCCCATCCTTCAGCAGTTCCTGGGGAGAGGGAAAGGTGGAGTTAAGACTAAAGCCCCTCCTCTGTTCTCAGAGAAACCAAGGATGGACCTCTATAGTGAGTTCCTTCCCCACTCCAATGTCTTTATATTTTAAAGAAGTAGGCTATTTTCAAAAGCTCTCTGAGATTTACAGAAAAATCAAACAGGTTTGGCCATAGTTTCCTTTTCCACCACAGCATCCCTCGTTATTATACTTTACAGTAGGTGTGGAAATCTTACTATGACAGACACATCCATATTGATATCTTACTACTAACCGATGTGTGGTGCACATGAGCGTTTGCTCTTTGCAGTATAATTTTCTTCTGTTCAACTGAGCCTTAGTCCTGGAATTCTCTAAGTCCACGGTTAAGTTTTTCCTCTTCTAGAAAGCCTCCCCAGGCCAGCCCAGACCTCTGGGCTCTCTCCCGCCTGAACTGGTACCACTTACAGTTAGGGTGTCTTCCATCTGGCCTTAGGCACCGTGTGTCACAGTGGTGACTCTAAGTGCTGGGCCAGATTCACCAGCTCAAAGACTAGCCGGCTCAGTGACATCCCAAGCCATTTTCTATACTGTCACCTACCTGAGGAGACCACATTATGAACAAGAATAAGGCTTCTCATTCAGACAGCTGTGCATGCATCTTTGTGGGACCACAGCAGCACCCAACTGATGCAAAACACAGTGATATTTTGAAGCTCCATAGTCTTAAGTGAGTAAGCAAATGAGAGGAGCAGGCAACCAATGGTATTGACAAATCAGCTCATCTGGCTGCCGAGAGAATTTAAAAGATGTAACTCCTCCTGCTCCTCAGAGAAAAACAACAGGTCTGGGGTCAAATAATCATTTATCAAATGATGGCACTGAGGCCATCAAGAAGATCTTTGCCCAAGGCCACAGAAGTCACTAAGAGCTAAAGCCGGAACCCAATCTCTCCATCCTCACAATCCGGGAACACAGGTGGCAGGCAGTTTCTCTCCCCACCGGGAAGTGTCTCTCGTCGTACCCAGCACAGGGCTTGGTGCACAAACATGCCGGCGGCCACAGCTGGCAGAATGGGCAGGATGTTCCTCAAGTGCAACATCTAGATTCCACTGCCATCAGCTCTGCCGTGTGATTCTGGGTAAGTCACTTAATGCCTTTGTCATGCCTTCCCCACAAGAGGACGTGCACAACAACCCTGACTTCCACAGCTCCCAGCTGTGCCAAAGGAGGAGGGTAAAGGGGATCAGCAGGGCAGTCAGGCTCGGGTACAGAATGCCAACTCTGCTGCTTGCTCTCTGCGTGACTTGGGGCCAGGCACTTGACTTCTCTGACCATTAATTTCCCCCTTTGTAAGTTGGAAGTAATGCCTACTTTATGGGACTCTTCTGGGGTTTGAGAGAAATAGCCCATAAAGCACCTAGCACACAGGAAGTACTTATGGAATGGCACAGTGACCCTGGAAGTCTATTCCCTTTAGGAAAGGAAAGATCACCGGGAGCTGGGTCTAAGAGGGGCCAGGGGAGTGGGCAGGTTCTCACCGTGCTAGCCACAGCTCCCTCCTGCTGTGTTCCGTCCCGGAACCAAAGGATGGTGGCAGCAGGCTTGGCATTAAAGGCTCTGCATGTGAGGTTGTGGGGGGTGCCTGCTTGCAGCAGAATCACGGGGCCCCCATCAATCCTCGTGTCCTCTGGAGGAACTGGAGGGAAAAGGAGAACAGAATCAGCTCAGGATGCAGCCAGCTGTGCCCCCTGCCATGGAGGTGTCCTTCCATCTGTGTGTGTCCCTCTCGGCAGGGCAATGCTACCCTCGCCCAACTCACAATCGCTATATACGGGCTTCACTCCGCCCACAAGCGGTCTCAGCTTGCCGGTTACTCTTTCATGGCTGCTCTTATGGTGTGAGTCTGTACTCACCACTGTTACTCAAGGGGGCTTACTCCGGATGGAGGGCTATCTCAGGTCTTGAGTAGAGATCCCACCCTGGGGAAGGAAGGGCGTCTCCTTCACAGGATCCCTGCCATCTATCCCCTCCCATCGGCTCCTCTGCCTGGAACGGCCAGATGGGCAACTCTATCCATTACACCTCCAGCAGGCTTTGTTCTTGATAGCAGTTAAGACTATGTTCCTCTGTTCAAATACCCCTAGAGGCTACAACTGCTTGTGGCATGAATTCCAAACCCTCCAGTCTCCTGTTTTAGATTCAGCAAGCTGCGCCTTGCAGACCCTTACCTCCTCACTCGGCTTCTGCTGTTTTCTCCATGGCATGCCCTCTCTCAGGGCAGCTGTGGAGGAGTTAGCACCCTGGTCAAATCCCGGGTGATGTGGAAAGCTTCATGCGTCCACCTGAGGCAGTATTCAGCTGTGTGTTGTCTGCCCAGTGGTTACTGTCTCTCCCTGCCTCAAATCCCTTGGAAAAACCAGGTCCCAGTCTCACTGGCATTTAAAAATAGTCTCCACTGCCTAATGCATGGCTAAAACAGGCCTTTGCTATGTGCTTAAGGAACTGAGTTAGCTATACATCTGGTTTTAAGAAATAAGACACCTCTCCTTATACTACAGCCATGGGCTTCTAAATGTTAACGTGAGTTCCCCAAGGCCAAGGGTTCTACATTCCCCGAGAGCAGGGGTTCCTCTTCTTTTTTAAATAAAGTATTTATTTATTTACTATTTTGAGACAGAAGCTCACGGTGCAGTCTAGGCTGGCACTGAATTCATGATTCTCCATTCTTTACCTCCCAAGTACAGGGAGAACCGGGATTGAGAGTGACATTGTATCCATTTCTTCCTATTAACTCTTTTTTTTTTGGTTTTTCGAGACAGGGTTTCCCTGTGTAGCTTTGCGCCTTTCCTGGAACTCACTTGGTAGCCCAGGCTGGCCTCGAACTCACAGAGATCCGCCTGGCTCTGTCTCCCGAGTGCTGGGATTAAAGGCGTGCGCTAACTCTTACTACACCAGCAGGGTCTAGTCAGAGTGTGGTGAACAGTAAGCTCTTAGGGGCTGTCGGCTGAACCAGTCATTGATGGGGTAGAGAGAAAAATTTTGATAATAATCTAGGTCCGCTCGATGGTCAGTAGCCAGAAATGAGCAAGGATTTGGTTTTCTTCTTTCCCAGAAAGACAAGGGAGACTGAGAAGAAACTTCTAGAGGAGACCCTTGAGGGGAGACCTGGGGAGGTCCCTGAGCTGGAGCCTGTCCCTGCGTGGGAGAAATGAAGGTCTCTGTGCTGGAGGAGCAGCTGCTGACACAGCTTTCTCTTCCGTTTCTGCACGTGGAGTGGCAGAGTGGAGGAGGAGTGGAATTTAGATCAGTACCCTTCAAACGCTGGCACCCTCCTTTACCATCGTGCGGTCTTGGTTGAGCCCCTAAAGGCACTGAGTCTGTTTCTCCCTCAAAGACCTAACAAAGCCCTTCACCGAGCCTGTGTGAGGTCAGTGTGGAGCTGCACACAGAGTACGGCATGCAGGGTACGTGTAATGTGCAAAAATGTGCTGCTTTTGCCACGATGAAAGGGTGCTGGCTTCTGCCCACCCGACTACTCTCTCAATCCCGGCTCTCCCACCTCTTCCCTGCCCCCTGCTTCATATAATTCTGATAACAGGGGCAGGAGTGTGGTTGTAAGCAGGAGAAACTTGAGAAGTGGAGAAATGGGGGAGGGGCCTCCTGATCTGCCTGGCTCTCTACCGTTGTACCTCCTCATGAGCTCCGTTCCCATATGCCCAGAGATGTTGGGGCCCTGCTACAAAGAGAGTAAAGCACCTCCTCCCGCTGGTCTGTCTGCCCTCGCCATGTTTCTGTTCCCTTCACTCGGGCAAAGACCATCTGTCACCTCGGTCACCAACCCACATTTCTCTAGAGTTTCTCCAAGTCTTTGAAGCCGATTGACAATAATTTCTACCATCTACCCAATGTTTTACCTGTTGTTCACTAAAGCACCTTGTGCATAGGACTTCATTTAACCCTTATCATAAAATATTAAATCTCAGGAGGAAGAAAGGAAGGAAGGAAGGAAGGAAGGAAGGAAGGAAGGAAGGAAGGAAGGAAGGCTGGAAGCATGATGGTGTATTTCCATGCCAGTGATCAGGGTCACAGCACAAAAATGAACAAGGCACAACCTGAACCCAGGGCTCGGGATCCCCAGCAGCCTAGAGCTCTTTCTGTTGCTAGGAGCCCCGCCCCCACTCACCCTCCCTCAAATAGGAGGGAACTGGGGACACAGACTCACTTGTCTCAGTTCCTTTCTCCCTCCTCCCCACGCGAATGACTTCATGTTGGGGGAGAGCGAGGTTGAGAAGTGGAGGTCAGAGAAAAGGGACGGAGTCGTCGGTTAGAAGGGAAGAGGAGGGACTCACAGGAGACGGCCCAAGCCAGAGAAAGCACTACAGAAGCACTCTGAGTTGGGGGGGATCTGAAGACCTGAAGATGGGCCACAACTGACTTCACTTTTGTTCTGTGTGGAGGACAGTCCTCTCATTATTCAGATGGCCCAAGGCTGACATGGTGACATCTACTCTGTCCCCCTGTGGGCTGCTGCTGGGAGCTCAGCTTTCAAAAGACAAGCCATCATGCCACTCTAGATGCAAACAGTCTGGCCCCTGGGTCCAGCCCCCACCCACCCACCCACCCCCGGGCTCATTTCTTCTGACTCTGGTCCCCTGTTCCCTGGCGTTCTAGGGAACATCTGACAAGAGAGGAACAGGCTGAGGCAAGGGCAGCCAAGCAGGTTGGGCTGAAAGGGAAAAGGTCTGGGCTCAGGGGCGGCAGAGAGATGGAGAGGAACAGGGACGTTCCCTAAACAACAAACCTGACTACAATGTAAATCAGGAAAAGTACAGGCTATGTCTCCATCACCATACTTCTCCGTGCAGAGAGCCCTGTTTCCACAGCTGTATTTCACAGAAAGCTCTGGGTCCTTAGTGTGATCTGGGCAGAGGTCGGAGCAAAGGATATCACACATGCAGAAAACATAATTCCCAGTAAATACAGTAAATACACAGCCTCCTCCACTCTCAACCTGCTTTGAATTTTTTTAAGTATAATTTACATCGTGCATGGATCTAAAAACACATCTGCTTGTCTGTGTGCCACACACATACGTGCATGTGGCTGCAGAAGCCAGAAGAAGGCATTGGAATCCCCTGGAACTGGAGTTATCAGTGGTTTTGAACCACCAGATGTGGGTGCCAGGTACTGAACCCAGATCTTCTGCAAAAATAGCAAATGCTCTTAACCACTGAGCCATCTTTCTAGTCCCGTTCACTTAGTTTTTAAAGAAGTTCATGTAAGGAGTTGTTGAGAGAGAACCAGGGAGAACAGGGACAGCAGGGGAAAAGGTGAGGCTAGGAAGAGAGGAAAAGGTTGAGACACGGCAGAGGGAACCGGAGCGGGGAGAAACGGCTTGGGAGTCATTACTGAGCACGGTGAGTTTGGCCCGTCGGGAGCGCAGGGCAGCCTCTGTGGCCTGGCACTCGTAGGAAGCGTCGTCCGAGAGCTCGGCATCTGTGATCTCCAAGTTGTATTGCCCGGCATCCGCAGAGCCCACGACCCGGTACCGTGGCCAGGCTGCAGGGACAGAACGGGAAAGACTAGAGTAAGACCCAGTCTTGAGGCCTGGACCACACCGCCATCTTCCACCCAGGGCTCATCGTCTCGGACCCTCCCCAAAGCAGAACCCGCGTCCATTCCCGGCCAGCTTTCCCCACTTGGCTCCCTCGCGGGCACCACTGGCAGGTGTGACTGTGAAGCACCAGACACAGACTTCATAACGTTGGGACCATAAAGCAGGAGGGGATGGTGAGGAATAAACAGAGAGAGAGAGAGATGAGCAGATGAAATCCATAGCTGTTTGCAGGTAAATGTCTCTCATTACAATAGCAAAGGAAGAGGAGGAAAAGAATGGGCAAGCAGCCAGGAGAGTGGAGAGAAGAGAGCGTGCGTGCGTGCGTGCGTGCGTGCGGCACAGGTAAGCACAGGCCACCTCAGCACTTACTGGGCACCTCTGTGTGGCTCACAAGGCCTGGTCCCCACTCACCGTGGAAGGAGAATGAGCAAGGTTTGCTGGCGCCTCAAAGGCGGACCCAAATGAGATTCCTACTTCCTTTCAAAGACATAGGGTGGGCCTCTGTATCTAGTCTGCCTTGCTTACAGGCTCCCACTGACTCCCACCATCTCCTTCCCACTGCTCCCCCCCAACCTCAGAGGCTATGGATTTTTCTGACTGCATATCTATTGACCTCAATCTCTCTCATTTTCTCTCCCATCAACAATAGATCCATCAAATTCATCTCTTTCCTTTATAGATTGTGCCATGCAGATTTCCTCAACTTAGACCCACAGCAAAGGATCTCACCACCCTCAAAAATAACGAGACCAGAAGTATACAGTCCCTCACCCACTCACATCATCACGGTGCTTCACAGTGAACAACATTATCCTCATAAAGCACATCCTGCCACTTGGTGTAAAAACCAAGGGTGCACTTTTTAGATAGGTAGGCTGTGACTGTTAGATCCGCTTCACAAATCAGCTAACCACGGCAGGGAGAGGAGCGCAAAGTGGTTTTCCTCAAGTCATCAGTGGGCAAGTGACTGAGGTGTCATGAGAGCCAGGTACGTTGACTCTCTACCCTCTCTGCCAAGAGGTGTTCCCAAGGCTCTCTGTGCTTGCTTTGGGATATAGGAAGTTAGGGTTTTTGTTGCTGGCCAAATCTTTATGTTTTCGTCAGCACTGGCTGCATAGCCTGTGCTTGACAAATGCTGATGGAAATTATTAAACCAGAGAGTGCTTAGGCTGATGTTAAAAAGCGAAAGGTTGGTCTCTAAGCAGACATGGACTACATAGGGGAGAAGAGAAAAGCCTGAAGGACTCAAAGGGCAGGCAGGGGAGGGAGAACCGCTGCAATCATGTTCTAATTTCAAAAATAAAAAAAAGAGAGAGAGAGGGTAGAGGGTAGCTGAGCGTACAACCTAGGGTAGACAGCAGCTGAGTGTACCACCGACGTGGGGTTGGGCGGGCTGGGCTTTGCTCTCCCAGCACCTGTCTGCAGCACCCCATGGTGCCTCCCTGACTGTCTGTCTAAAGCTCTCAGTGTAAAGGTCTGTTTCTCTTGACCTCCCGGGCTGCACACCACCTTTCTTGAGCGATTCCACGATCTGAGGAAAGGGAGAGTTGGGGGGTAAAGGTGACAGACCTCAGAAGTCAAGAACAGGACAGAGGAAAGGATGGGTAGCAAATCCAGGAGTCTAGGCTGAGAGCGGGGGGGGGGGGGGGGGGGGGGGGCAGGAATAGTCCCCGGATGCTGGGGGACTGAGCAGCCACACATACCCATTTTGCTCTTCTGTCCTGTGGATCAAACTCAAGGCCTTGCGCACCATAGCACGCACTCTAATCAAGGGACAGTCCCAGCCCAGCACTCACCTTTGAGGCCCTGGCCCATGCCCAGAGCCAGCCCGTCCTTGGTCCACTGTACAATCCCAGAGTAGTTGAGGAGCACACAGGGGAGCACGGCCCGCTGCCCGGCCACCACGGTCTGATCGGCTGGCTCCTGGCTGAAGCGGGTCTGGGTCCCAGGTACAGCCAAAGCTGGCAGTGGGTAAAAAGATGAATGAGGAGGGCGTCCACCAAGGGGGGGGGGGGGTCCTTGTATGAGTCTGCTCTTACCCTGCAAGCCAGGGCCATGCCTTCCCCCGCAAGATGCCACAGGCTCCCTTTATTTCAATCTCCCCTTCAGGGCCCCAGGGACAGGTCCAAGGTTCTGGAGGGCTGAGCGATCACAGGAATGGTCTGGCAGTACCTAAAGGTTTTCGGATTGGGCCTGACCCAATTTTGAACACCGAAGCCCAGAGGGCGGCACTTACCCAATGACCACCCACTGAACAACAGTCGAGCCAGGGTTAGACTAGGGTTAGTCAAGCCCTGGCTATCTGGGTCCAAGGCTCTTTTTTTACAAGGCATCTGATGCCAGCCTCTTAGATACTCAGCTTCATGGGTGATGCATTCATAACAAAGGTGACTGTTTTCGCCACAATCCCTTCCTTCCCGTGCAGTGTGGACCAACAGATGCCCAGCCCTCACCATGTACACCATGTCTACTGGAGTGCACAGACAATTCCAAGATGATAGTATATCCAAAGCCAAATAGCCCTGAACCCCACTTTTGGGCACACTGGCTCCGTGCCATGTATTTACCCTTGACCCAAGGGCTGGGGGCGCAGCGACATACACACCCATACATCTGCATGCACACAGCCTCCTGCATCATGGGAGCTGAGACAGTGTGGGACTTTGTTCAATTCTCCCTCTCGCTCCAGGAGCTACACATGGCTGCCTGGCTGGTAGCTTGGCCGGGAGCATTTGATTAGAGAACTGCAGAGTAATTGCCTTTAATTGTGGAGCCTAAATGGAGTAGGGAATTGGATTGCAGATTTCTTCTCTCTTGCTCCCACCAACAGGCTTGCCTCATCACAGCCTGGTCCCAGTGGTGGGGCAGGCCTGCATACTGACATAGCACAATGTGACCATTAGCATCCTACACTGGGCTGTAGGGAAGGAGAGGGGCGGAGGAGGGGTCGGCAAAGGGTTAAATCAGAGGCTTCCTTGTCACAGCTCCAATAAGTCACACCAGGCAATCAAAAGCAGCTCCCTTCCAAGCTAAGACTCCTGGTTCACTTTTTCCTCCAGCTCACTGAGTTTATAGAGGCCACAGCCCCCTAATCCAACTCCTTCCAAACCCAGCTTCCCAGTTCATCTGTCCCCATTTCAAGAGCCCCCCTTCCATCCAGTGTATAGGCTTCTCCCCACCTCTTACTCTGGGATCAAACACAGGGCACTCTACCAGGAAGCAACACCCCTGCCCTGAGATCCTCGTCCAGCCCACGTCCTTTCTTCTCTCCAGTTCCATTTCTCCCCTTCCTTCCAAGCTTGTTTCCACACTCTCCATTCAGGAAAACCTCCGAGGCTGATTCCGGAGGCCCTTGTGCAAGCACAGCCTGTCCCATCGCTCAGCCTTGCTGTGGCAGCTCTAGCTACAGGATTTCCTGTCCAAAGCCATCAGGGATCATGCTCATGTTTTTGTCATCAAGAGGTGGAAGGCAGCTTGTGGGTGGAAGTGTCTGCCCTGTCTGTTCCAGGAGAATGGAACCTCTCTGAGGTGGAACTCTCTCCTCTTTCTGGGTCTCCTGGGATCTGGTGGTCAGAATAAAACCCAGGAAGCAGGCTCTGCCCTTGGTTAAAATGTGGCAACGCAGCTCTTTAGATCTGCATGGAGCCAGGAGGTTAGAAAATGGGTACCTGTGTTTTCTGTAAGTGGCTCCCCAACTCTGCAGACCTGATTCCCCATACTGTCTCTTTAAAGAAGAAAAAGATAAGGCTCATCCACATTTCCAGAGAGAGGGATGGCAGGTGCTGAGGTCCTGCAGGAAGGACTGGTCAGGTGAGCAGCCAGTGTTATTAATTCAGGCATTTGCACTCATTAGTATTTAAATTTATTCATATCCTTGCACGTTCTCAAGTGTAGCTATGTGCAATCAACTGTACTTCTGTTTCTCTTCCTCAAGGCTCCTAGAGCCCAAGTCATGGGCTTGTGACATGGGTGGCCTGTGAGCTTAGATCAGTCTGGATGGATAGCCATAGCGTTTTTACATGAAGCCTGAGGACTGGTCTTTTCTTGGCATCTCCAGAGAACAGTGGGCAGCCGGCTGCATGTTTACTTGCAATGAGATGCTGGATGACCCTGCAGTGGGATGGCGATGGGATGCACCTGAAGTCAGGAGACAAGGGTCTTGCTGGAGTGAGAAGCTAGCCACCCTGGTCTGGCTCTTCCTTACCTGGACCTCCAGTTGCTCACTGTAAGACAACAAGTCTGGGAGAGACTGCCAAAGACCCTCTCTGCTCAAATACTAGAATTGGCTTAGAGGAAGACAAAGGTTTCCATGGTCCCTCTGCAACTCTTCCTAAGTGGGTGGCCCTGGTCAAGTTACCCTCAAACTGCATTTTCTTACCTGGGAATGATATGTCTACCTCGTGGACTGCCGTGAAGCCAAGTGTGGTGCAGTGGATGCTAGACCTACCAACATCCTTTGCATTTACCTACTAAATAATCATGACCATTACTTATCCCTGAGCAGTTGGACAACGAGAGACACTTTCGGGAACCTAAGAATGAGTGACAGAGGGTAATGTCGGCTTTTCTGTGAATTTTGAAGTAAAATACATTTTTGATTTAGCTCTAGTTGAAGCGATTTGGTCTAAAACCAGAATGGGAAAAATGATGAGCAGAGAATGAGGAAGGAAATGAGGGGCTTCCCAGATTTGAACCCATGGAAGGACCACTTTCTGTACCAAAGTCACAAGCAGCATTCCATGTCCCCAAATAGCCCTGCAGCCAAGACAGCATATGAGCGAGACCAGAAGCCATGGGTGGTACTTCAGTCAACTTATGATTAGGGAAAACTCCTTTTGATCTAATCAAGCTCTGTTCTCGAAACTATATAAGCTGGTATATATAGGTCACCCTTCAGGTCCTCACACACTCCTTCTTTGGGATTCAAATAGTCACCTCTTTTGGGGTGCCTTCCATGACTTACTTGCGCTGCTTCAGACCCTATCTATTGACTTTTTTTTGTTTTTGTTTTTTGAGACAGGGTTTCTCTGTGTAGTTTTGGTGCTTGTCCTGGATCTCGTTCTGTAGACCAAGCTGACCTTGAACTCACAGAGATCTGCCTGGCTCTGCCTCTCGAGTGCTGGAATTAAAGATGTGTGCCACCACTGCCCGGCTTGACTTCTTCTTCTTCTTCTTCTTCTTCTTCTTCTTCTTCTTCTTTTTTTTTTTTTTGGCCATAGCAAGGACCACACTGCCCAGGTCACCTACCTCAGCGCAGCCTGGGGCAACTTTTTGAGTCTGGACTGTGCCACTCACAGCCCTAAGCCACATCACTTGGCACAGGTGCCCGACTGCCAGGCACACAGGGGTGTTCTAAGTGAGTTTGTTAATGGGTGGATTGTTAGGAGCAAACAGCCAAACTCCTTCAGGAGAAAGCAGAGCTCTGCCCTCTCCCTCCACCCCGCCCCATCTAAGGGAGACCGAAACAGTCAAGATGTGGAAGGAATAGTATGCTCTCTTCTGTGAAAGGAGGAACCCTGAAAAATGGGCTGGGGAGTAGAGCTGGGAAGGATAACACTCAGTCTAGAAGGTTCTCATGCAGATGGTGAGGGAAGTGGAACAGTGGAAGGGAATGCTGTGAGCAGGAAGGGGAGAAGGGCCCTGGCAGTCCTAGTTAAAGACGAGACATAAGGTGTTGGTAAGTCCTGTAGGGTCAAGAAGGCACCAGTAACCTAGAACATGTGGCCTAGCAAGTGGCGCATCACAACTCAAGCATGCCTCTGAGGTCCTGGGTCCTGGGTACCTGAGCTAAGCTTAGTGGAGCCTGCTCTGAATAGAGAGGGAAAATCTCAGTCCCATCCTTATGTCTGGGTCTATGCACATGTCCTCATCCATTTCCGGGAACAGAACCAGCATAGTATAGTAATGTAGAGAAAGAACCAGAAAGGGCCTGGCCACAGACAGGTAAGCACAGACTAGCCTCTTGCTGCAGCATCAGATCAACAGTCTCATGCTTCTGATGGTATTTGAAAGTGAATTTCTACTTTGATCCTGCTTCCCCCCAATCTTCAGACTCCATCACAGATGAGGTGAGCCAGCCACAATGAAGACAGATCACTGCACACTGCGCGCGCATGTGCGCGCACGCACACACACACACACACACACACACACACACACACACGCGCGCGCGCGCGCACACACACACACACGAGGGGCCGTTAACAGAGGTACTGAGACAAATACTGAGAAACAGAGTCAAAGACAGACATCCACACAAAGGCAGAGGAGCAAGAAACAAGGGAAGGCCCTTTAGACAAAGATGTCTGTAGAGTCATAAAGGGGCCAAGGTGGAAGGGAAGACAGTGGACAGCTACAGGCCGAGAGAGCTCGAGAGCAGACAGGCCTAGGGCCTGCAGAGGTCGGCTCAGCCTTTTCTTCAGAAGGAGTTACCTGGTAAGTACCCGCTGTCTGAACAACCTTTTCTCTCCGACCTCCACTGGGGTTTCTAGACACTCAGCGTGGATTTTCCCGCAGGGCAGCAGTGAACAGGGTGGTAGAGGTAGAGGAGAGATTCACACTGGAGAGGTAAGGGGAGCAGAGGGGTCCCAGTAGAATTTGGAAGACTGCAGAGCTCCGTGCTCCCTGCTAGCCTAAAGAGTGTGGGAGCTGAGAACCCCGATCCCTGCCGCCATCCTTCTGTTTCATTCCCAGATCGCCTTCCTTCCAAGTCACCTGTCACCCCTTAGCGCCACTTTGAGCCACAAAGCTTTTCTAACCTCACACTCAAAATGGTTCCTTCCTTTATTCTCCCACAGCGTTGTCTGGGCTTCTGGGTAGAGCACACACCACAACCTGCCTTGGATTAAAAATTGCTCATGTGTGTTTTGTCTCCCCGCTCTCCTGGGAGCCTCTGAGAACAGAGGTTTTGATTTACCATTTCTGTTCATTCAGTCCCAGCAACGCTCCATGATAATAAATACCTCCAATTATAAAATGCTGATTGCATGCCACTCTGATGTCTTACGGACATTGTTCCCAGCATTATAACCCGCTACACAGTGGTAGTTATTACCTGCATTTTAAAGAAAGGGGAATTATGGTCTGGCAGAAACGAGATAAAAGCAGGCTTCTCGGCTCCATGGTCACCACTCTTGGTATTCTGTCACGTTCTAGGAATATCCAATCTTGTAAATGAACTGGATTCATGCCTCAGCCCGAGAAAGAGCTACTGGTAGCCTGAAGTTTCTGACCTCTCCTTTACAGCTTTGACTTCCATGTCCACGCTGTTTACCTCTTGGATGGACAGCGGTGCTCAGGTCTGGAGTTTGGCCCCACAGCCTGTATGTAGTACTTGCCTTGCATGCTGCTATCAGCGCAGGAGAGGCTTGATGTAAATGCATGGAGGGGGACAGTGAGTGGTACGCAAGGCCAGAGAGAATATCTCTGTCAAGCCCAGGGAGTGTCAGTGACAAACAAAATGCCAGTCTTTAAGCCACCAATGGTTGCCAGCGCGCGCATATGTGTGTGTATGTGTGTGTATGTGTGTGTGTGTGTGTGTGTGTGTGTGTGTGTGTGTGTGTGTAAATAGGTCCTGCATATGAAAGACTTGATGCTATACTCAGACACACAGGTAATGTTTTACCAGGCTTGAGGACACCAAAGCTCACAGACACTGGGGTAGTTACTGCTCATAATAAGAAACCACGGCTCAGAGACACCGAGGAGCTCCCCTCAGCCACATAAAATTAAGGCTGGGACACAGAAAGCCCAGGAAGAAACCAAGTTCTCCCCGGGATGCTATCTCGGTAGCCTGGCTGCTGTCTTCTCCTGGGACCCCCTGAGTCAGACACTGATCCCCAGGCCTCTACACTCCCTCCGGATGTTATCTCTGCATCCCCTCATCTACTACGTTCTCGCCCATTCCTCATGACCCAGGCCTGTCCTTCAGACCCTTTCTCCAGCCAGGGCCAGGCCAGGCTTTGTTCATGAACAAATTTCCAATCTCCTTTTTCTGCTGAGCCTAGCAAGGACAGAGAGGTCAAATCTTTTTTTGTTGTTGCTTTTTTTTTTCCTGGCACTGGGCATTGAACCCAAGTACTCATGCATGCTACGCAAAGCTCTACCACCAAACTACACCCCTAGGCCTCAAACCCTATTTTTGATGGAGAATTAGGAATTGGCCCCTAAATCTACGATATGATGGGCATGTTTATAACTTCTCACAGCCATAAACTTCATATGGTCACACATGGGCAGAAACAAGCAAGCACATGTGTTCCCTTTCCTGCCCACGTGAACACCCCTTCTGTGTCCTTGTGTGTGAGTACACATCTGTCTGTGCCCGTGGGCACCAGTCTGTTCCCTGTTCTGGAGCACGTACCCTGGTGGTCATGTTCCCAGAGCCTAGCCTGACAGGACCAACCAGAACCAGAGAGAGTCGGGCCCAGCATGAGGAAGTCAGGGAGCTAAGCAGCAGGAGAGAGGGATGGTGGGGGCTGAGCCCCGTCTCCCCGGATTTATCAAAGAGCAGTAATGAACCCCCTGGGCTGAAGCAGTCCCTGAGCTCACCACTCCAGACCATGCTGCTGCTCAAAGTACAGCCTTTGATTCACACTGACAGCTTTCAGATGGAACTAAATCTCTCCACTCTACTATCCCTCCCTCCCCTGTCTTCCCTCCCCTCACCCTGACAGGGCTTCCTTCCCCACCCCAGCCGTTCACTCACAACCATCACAGAACCTTTCACAGTGGATTCTCTGAGAAAAGAGGATTTCAAGTCTTTGGGATGGGCCAGCAGAGAAGGAAGGCGAAAAGAAAGAAAGATTTGTACTTCTGATGGAGGAGGAGGAAGGTCATAGGCAAGGCTAAGGCTGGTCAAAGTGAGGACAGATAATGGGAAAGAGCAGAAGGCCGGGTCAGACACCCCGAGGCAGCCCCTCAGACTGGAAGCTCCAGGAAAGACGCTCTCTGTCAGCTCGGCTGAGCGGGCAGGAAGCATCTAGGCCTGCTGTCTCTGCTCTATGCTGAGCCCTGCCTGGAGTCCTAAAACGTTCAGATGGATGTGAGTGCCCTGTAGCGTCATGGCCTCCTCCTCCTCTGACAGATGAAGGCTTCACTTTGTGAGATGGAAAACTTACAGACTCGCTTGGAGGAATGGTCTAATCAGGTGCTATGGGTAGACAGTGAAGAGCACAAACAGACCACAGTCCCAGACTCCTGTCCCAATACTCAGAATTATTGCTGCATCTACCATCCTGCCACAGAGTCCCCCAGCGTCCCCTCCCTCTTTGAGTGGAAAAACTCAGGTGGTAGGGGCCTCAAATGTCCTCTCCACTACCTTCCTCCTTCTAGGCCCTTCTCCCCCACACAACCCCAATGTCCATTTCCAAAGCTGGGGATAGAGAGAACAGCCAAAGGGCACTTTTTCCAGGCACCAGATGGGATTTTGTAAATGGCCACAGCCTGGCCTGTTTCCACGCACTGGAGCAGACTACACAGGCCGTCTGGTATTTGCTGTGACAGGAAAGGAGGTTTATGGGTCTGGACAAGTGGATCAGCCTCCCAAAGAGACAGGAAGAGAGCCGTGAAATACAAGGGGAAGGATGGGGGTGCGGGACAGACTTCACACAGCTCTACCAGGGAGAGGTAGAAAAATCCATGGACTAGAAGTCAAAGAGGTGTGGGTGGACCTGACCTCGGCTTTGCCACCGCTCTGGGTAACTCTGGGGAAGACACCCCACGCCTCTGGGCAGTGGCTTCTTTAGGTGTAATAGGAAGGGGCGGAGTAATGTGGCCACAGGAGCCCCCTGACGCAGGCCTCGGAGTCCGTTACCCCTGCCTCTTACTTGTCTACACTTGGGCCAAGCCTTGAGGACATCCACCCAGTCACCTTCAGACTAAAGGGAGCCTGTGCGCCTGGGCCTATCCTCATGTTTCCTGCACGGTAGGGTGTGTGGGGACAGCTGTGGGTGTGTGCAACAGGACAGTGAGTGGCCGACAGGACCCAAATGTGGTACCCAGCCTAGGAGGCAGAGGCCACTCTTCGTTTTCCTCTGGAAGGAAGTCCCATTTGAGTTCTTACGTTCCCTCCCACAGGCTCACAGTCGAGCAACAGAGGAGAGAGAAAAGACAAGCCTGGACTCTGAGGTCGCGCCGGCTAGTCTGGGCCAACTCACAGGGACACTGCTCTTCAAATGAAAAGGGCTAGCAGGTGTGGCTAGAAGCAGTGCCGCCTGTCCCATTGTGGCCTCTAGCCCCGAGGTACCTGGGCCAGACCTGATCTGACAGCTCTATGCAAATACGGCTTGGCAGGGGGCCCTGACAATGTTTTATAGAACGTTGTCGTCGTCCGAATGGTCTGGAGAGCCAGGTGGGGTTGGCTGCAGCAGGTACGCCAGGCAGAAGCAGAAAGGGGACGGCAGGGCTCAGTGTCTGGTTCTGCAAAAAATACAAACCCCAAATTTCCATTTGGCTCCAGTGGGCAAGGGAAGTGGGGAGGGAGAAGAGGCGGGCGGCAAGCAGGAAGCCAGCTCAGATGGGTGAGGGGTAAAGAAGGAAGTGGGGAGGGAGAAGAGGGGGGACAAGAACAGAGATAGAGAAAGCAAGAGACAGAGAAGGTGGGTAGGGAAGGTGGGACAGGAGACTTCTGCTCTCCACTCCATCTGGGCCAGGAAGGCAGGAGAAGCTGGGATGAACTAGAAACGATTCAAACTAAGGCTGTCGATTCGTTGGTAGAGCGCTCCAATGGAATCCCTGAAAGGCCAGGGCGCCATCCCCAGCGCCACAGAAAATCTGGCATGGTGGTACATGTCTATACTCTTAGAATTTGGAAGACAGAGGAAAGGCAAGCAGGATCTTAAGGCCAGCATCAGCTACATGACAAGTTTGAGGCCAGCCTGGACTGTATGAGACTATCTCAGAAAAAAAAAATTAGCATCAGGGAAGGAAGGAAGAAGGAAAGATGGGGTGAAGTGATACTATGTTACAAAAGAGAAAAACAACAACAACAACATACGGACACAAAGGGCAAGAGAGAAAAATAAATCAGAACTAGAACCCTGAACATGCAAAGGCCCTGAGGTGGGGCCAAAAATAAAAAGCCTAGGTCCCCGAGGCCATCTGCTAGAAAAAAAGAAAAAAAAAAAAAAAAAAAAGAGGAGCAGTGGCCTGGAGGGTAGGACTGGAAAGGGCACTGGTAAAATCTAACCCGAATTCCTTTCTTTTGAAGAAATAAACAGAGAGTGGGGGTGGGAATCACTGGAAAGAACTCCAAATCCCCGGTGGTTTCAGAGCTAGCCTCCCAGTTACAGAGTCCCCTTTACAGGGCTGGGTACTCCACAGTGTGCCTGTGCTAACAGAGCTGGATGGAAGCGCTCAGGCCCTAAAGGAAGAACGGACAGACTGAACAAAGCACCGAAGACTGGCGGGGAGGAGAACGTCCAATGAAGACAGAGGCGGAGAAGCCGCAGGCCGGAACTGGAGAAGTCCAGAGATGGGAGCCAAACTGAAGACAGGCCTGAGGGCAGATCACCGCCCCTGTCCTCCGATGAAGGTTTTGATGTTTGAGGTCAAAGAAAAGGAAGGACATCTCTGAGAACTGGAGCGACCCTTGAGAGGATTGTACAAGGAGAGGTAAAGAGGAAGAGATTGGCCATATCTGAGGCAGTTCAGAAGGACTCTATCAAGGTCCAAACCTGGTACCCTCCTACAAGGTACTTGGGAGGTCTAAGCTTCGCTCTCATGTCATTTATACCTCATTTCCTACCTGCCTGCCCCTGCCTCTGCACACACATACTTTCCTGGTTCTAATCCTATGGTCCCTCTTCCATGGAAGCTATTTTCTCAGGTACATGGGTCCCCAAAGTGATAGTTCTGCCCCGAAAACCATCCTCTGCCTGTTTGAATATTCTTAGTTATTGCTGTAATGAACTTTTAGCAGAGTCAGAATGATACCTGAGTTCCCCCCCACACACACACAGGCTTAAAGCCTAGGAAGAAATGTAGGCTAGGTCCCTCCACAAAGGTTTTCTGGAACATTCTCCAGAATAAAAGTCTCAATTCAGAGACAAAGAAAGGTCTAGACAATAGTAAGAAGTTTTTCTTCACTTAGGCACTGAAAAAGCCAGAAGGAAATCTAGGTCTTGGGACCCTGGGCTAGCATTCCTGAGGGTACATCTCTGCTTTTGAGTTTATGAGGTTTATTACATTCCCATTCCCAGCAGATCCAGGGTAAATACTAATCTCATAGAATCTTCAACCCATCATTACGGATGCCCTTTGCAGGTGCCTCTAGCCCTTTTAGAGAGATCACCTGAGTCTATGAGCAGGATCAACCTATCTAGGAAGGCATGAGTCTTAACTCCATGAGCATTCAGCTCTTCACCGCAATGGCTAAAAAAGGTGGAGGAGAGAGATACTGTGCATACACAACCTGGGTGCACCCCGAGATACCAGGACTGTACTTCTCCATAAGATACAGGAACACATTAATGACTGTGGGTCCTGGGGAACAGAGTGTTCTAGTTACATAAGAACTTACTGAATTCCTTTTTCTTTCTTTGGAGACAAGGTCTCACTGAGCTTCCTGGGCAAGCTTTGAACTTTCAACCCTCCTGCCTCCGTACTCAAGAAGCTGGGGTTACAGACCTGTGCTACCACTATTACCCAAGCAAACTTTCTAGAAGTACAAAGCCATGTGCTCCTATAACTAGAAGCATCACTATGAAGCAGGATGGCATCTCTCAGTATTATTCTAGAGAACTCTGGGTATAGGTATACTTATGTATGGAGATATTTTATTTGTACTGAAATGTGATTTTATTTGTACGTTAATAAATAAAGTTGCCTGGGGGTCAGAGCTAATAGCAAGCCATAGCAGAAGCTGGGTGGTGGTGGTGCACACCTTTAATCCCAGCTCTTGGGAGGCAGAGCTAGGCAGATCTCTGTGTGTTCAAGGATACAGCCAGCATGGAGACACACACCTTTAATCTCAATACCAACCATAGAAGACCTGGAGGTCTGTACAGATAGGCAGTGATGAGGAGGTCATGTGGTTGGGTTTATGACCAATGAGAAGGCAGAATAGAAAGTCAATAAAAAGGACAAACAAAGAGGAAGGAGGTCTCTTGGCTGAAGAGGACAGCAGCAGCAGTGAAGGGTAAGGTTTTTAGCTCTTACCTCTGATCTCTTGGGCTTTCATCTCTGCATTGGCTCTGTGTTTCTTATTTAATAAGATTGTTCATCTACACTTATGATTTCTGTTTTCTTTTTTCTTTAGATAAACACCTATCAAATAATCAATTCATGATCGTTCAATCAAGGTAGATTTGAAAAGTTAAAGAAAGAAACACTGAATCAGGACAGTTAAAGGGGAAAGAATAGGTCAACAACTATAGGTCAACAACGATCTAAGAGAGAAGTTGAGAGAAAGTGTAGGGTAGACTTTTAGTCCACAGCAATTAACCTAACTAGGAGAATTCAACATAATAGTGGTGGGCTTTGGACATGATCAAGCCTCACCTTGACTTAGATCTATGCTCATTCTATATTTTATTCTGGGTCTATGTTCAGATGATGAGATAGAAAACCCCTTGGAATAACAGATATACTCTCATTCATCTTCTGAAATGACTAGCCTTGCATATCAAGGGTTCTCAATAAATACTTATTCAGTTATCTTCATTAATGATTATATCAATTAAATATACTTTATGTAACAAATATTTATTGAGTGCCTACTACCTACTAGGCACTGTTCTGGACTCAGGATGCAAAGACAGACTTGGTAGACCTGCCCTTACCCACTAAAATTCCACTAGACACACACACACACACACAGACACAGACACACACAGACACACACAGACACACACACACACAGACACACACACACACACACACACACACAAAACGCTGTGTCTTCACCAAAAGGGAAAACTTGGAACCTTCTGCCTACAGACACTATAGGGTAAAGCAGAATGGAGGAAAGTATCAGAGGTTGTAGGAAGAATCCTCAAAGAACTGTTGGGTATCTATGCTGGACTTTGAGGAATGTACAGGAGTTATATTGGACAGCAGGGAGGGAAGGGAGAATAAAATGTTCTCAGAAGACAGAAGGCCTGGGTAGCAGGGCAGTCGGAAAAACACATCCATTCAGGATCCTAGACGTATCTTAGCCTGACCACTGTGTCCTGGAAGCCAAGCATCGGAATGGACATGCTGTAGAAATGGGAAGAAGCTGTTCTTGCTATCACATTCTATCAGGGGAGCTGGAGGAGGTGATAACCAGTTAACGGCTGAAGAGTTCCATCAGTGTCATGCTAGACAATACCAGCTAACCAATGGTGAAGAGATAAGACCATGGGAGTGGGTTTAGTAGAGCTGTGGTATGGTTGCCCCTCAACTCTAAGCATGGGGGTGTGGATCTTAGAACGTTAGCAGGCGCTTCCTGCATGAATATCGTTAATGGGTATTTACTGAATGGATAAATAAACCTGATTTTGTTACATGTTTGACCGGTTCCTCCTTTGGAACTACTACTAGCTACTAGCTATAGCCACAGACCCTTTCCGTAGGTAACACACACACACACACACACACACACACACACACACACACACGCGCGCGCGCGCGCGCGCTGATAAGTCTTCATCGAAAGGGAAACCATGGAACCTTCTGCCTAAAACCAAGGCACAGACAGTAGACTTTTCCAACTAAGCTCCGTTAAAAAGATTTCCCCGCAAGACACCTCCAGAAGCCCCAAGCTGAGGTTATCTGGATGAATCTTGTGTAGAGTAAAAGCAGTGCCAACTGGCTGTGGAACTGAGCCATCTAACTATTCACTCCTCACGTCTAGGAGGCATGGGATGTTAATTTGCTGCAGGGAGCTGGGGGAGCCTGGGGTGGGGGTTCTAAAACCCACCTTTGTAGAGCAGGGCCCCGGCAGCCTGCACAGAGGGGAGAAGGCTCAGAGATAGGCTGCTGACTCCAAGGCAGGGAGCCAGGTGGGGAGGAACTTTTGGTATTTGTTCCCGATCTTTCTTCCTTCGCTTGCTTCAGTTTGCTTGTTAAATGGGACACGCATGTCCCGAGGGCTAAGGTGAAAGAAGAAGGCTAAAGTAATTTATCTCCCCACACGATGGGGACAGGCGACAACCAATTGTGAGTACATGGCAAGGGTTCATGGAGGCGCCAATCCGAGACTGCGTGGATTCTAAACCTGGAGTTCCAAAGAGCTTCTGCTTCATAAAAGGTTTCAGATAGGAGCCTGATGGAGCCCATGGCAGAGAAGATGTAGACACAGTATAGGAACAGCCTCCAGGGTGCAGCCTGCTTGCTTTACAGCTCTTCTCTGCATCTCTGATACATACACACACACACACACACACACACACACACACACACACACACACACACACACATATATATATATATATAATTTTTTTTGATCACCCTCTGTTGTCCCAAGAAGGGGAGGTCTCTTTTTCCTCCATTTCCACAGTCTCTGATCCCTGAAATAACTTAGTGATTTTTGATTTAGCTGCCCAATCCTCCACATTGAGAGGCTTCTTTCATTGCTCATGACAGCAATCTCACGACAAATTTAGCACCACGTTTCCTGGATAAGCCAATATTCCCCTTGAATTATCTCTCTTGGGGGGAGGGGGGTGCAGTGCATTCCAACAAACAGCCTGTGTTTTCCTTGACACCAGAGTCCATCAAGCTCTCAGTCCTCAGGTGGGTGGGTAGATGGATTAATACATGGGAGGTGACATTCTCCCAGGATCACAGGATGGTTCTGAGAGCACAGGAAGAAGGGTTAAGGAGGGGCTGGGTGGAGAGAAACCTCTAACCCGGGCTCTCAGTGAGTGGGTGAACTGCAGAGTTTTGTAAAATGGAAGGTAGAAGCAGTTGGACCTTTGCTCCGAGAGTTCTGGAACCAAACTTCCTCCCTCCTGAAGTATTAGTATTTCATCTACCCAATCTCCACACTGAACTCCTGTTACTTCACTGGGAATGAAAGAAGAACGATTTCTCTGCTTTGAGCCCTCATTCCGGCATCCCTCCTCACCTGTATCCCTTGGAAGTGATGGCTCTGTGCAGAACTACCTGCTCCTGGTTGGATGCACATGATTCCTCAAGGGGTCTGCCTTAAATGGGATTTCCACAGATACAGAGGCAGTGAGAATGGATGAGGTGGGGTGTACTCTGAGGAAACGGACTGAGGAGGATAGGCGGAGTGAAACGGCAGGGCAGAGGCAGGGGACGTCTTCCAAGACGTCAGCCATGGAAGAAGGGGTAAGTCAAGTCGGAGGCTGGAGAGACCAGATTCCCTGAGGATGGTAAAAACACACATAAAGACGGAAGGATCCCATGGCTGTGTAAAGACGTAGAATCGTGAGAGTCTGGGACTACAAGGGGCAGCGGTGGGGGAAGGAGGCAGGGAGTGGGGGGCAAATAGGTCATCCTAGAGACTCTAAGCAGATTAAAAATAAGAGGTAAGAGTCAGAGAGACTCAGCCACAACCCCAGGAATGCAGACACCCTGCTGGGGAAGCAGAGGAGGAGAGGGGAAGGGAAAGGGCTGGTAGCTAGGAGGGGTAACAGATGGTCACAGTCATTAAAAGGATTTCAGTAAGTCCTGCAAGCCTTAGGCAGCAAAGACAAGCTTGAGTAAGCACCAGGAGAAAAGAATTAAGCAGAGCTTTGGAAGAAGGAACTTACACAGAAACCTCTTCAATGCCACCACAATGGCTCCACATTCCTGCTTCAGTCTTTACCCCTAACCCAACCTCAACCCCAACACCAATCACCAATGCATCTTAAACCGATCGTCACACCAAACCTTAAGTAGAATATGTTTGTCTTGAAGGCAACACATCTCAGGCGACCTTACTGCCAAGAACAGCTTGAGTGATCAAAAGACATTTATCAAATCACTAGGATCCTAGACCACACCTTCATCTTACAAGTAACCTCAATATGGAGTCTGACCCCAGATTCCAGCTCTTTCTTTCTTTCTTTTTTTTTTTTTTTTGGTTTTTCGAGACAGGGTTTCTCTGTGTAGCTTTGCGCCTTTCCTGGGACTCACTTGGTAGCCCAGGCTGGCCTCGAACTCACAGAGATCCGCCTGGCTCTGCCTCCCAAGTGCTGGGATTAAAGGCGTGCGCCACCACTGCCCGGCCTCCAGCTCTTTCTTATTCATCTCTACCCTAAGCCCAAAGGCCACCGTACCTATCTCTAATTTTACTTCAACTACTTCCACCCCATATTTTTCTGCCCCCACATACCTGGATGGAGACTCTAAATCACAGAGGCCATTAAAGGCAGAGGTAAACAGAAGGTGTCAACTTCACCCCGAGACCACATCACACTAGAAATGCAGACCTCTAGACTCTCAGGCTAACATGGTCATTACTGTTCCAGTGGTTTGTCCTAAAAGCTGGGAGTAAAGAGGGGTCTGGGGGCGTCTGTTACAAGGATGTGAGGCTCAGGACAAAGGAATCTGATGTGGAACAGAGAGCAGTGAGAATCACGGAGACAACCAGAGGCATGTCTGAACAGACAGAGGCTGTCAGCTCCAGTCGACTTGGCAGACCCTGACATCTTCTGCCTCTAACTCCTTCTTTCCAGCATGGTGCTGTGCAGGCTGCCAGCAGGAGGGCTGTGGTGGGGAGGGTGCTGTGCAGGAGGGCTGTGGTGGGGAGGGTGCTGTGCAGGGGGTTTGTGGTAGGGAGGGTGCTGTGCAGGAGGGCTGTGGTGGGGAGGGTGTATACAGGGTACTGAGCTGCTCTGGAGCCTGTTCCTACCTGATCCTGCCTGACTCGGGAGCAGACTTCTCCCTCTGAGCCCTGCTCCTCCCTGTGATATCTCCGATGAGCAAAGCTCTCCACATCTCTCAGGAGCTGTTACTGTGGCGCCTGGAAATGACTGTTCTTGTCACAGCCAAATCAGATGACCGAGATGTGGGATAGATGTGCTAGGCTTGGGCCCTCAGCTCATGGAGTAGGATGATGGAGTTAGTTGTAGTTCTTTCTCCAGGGGGTGAGACACCACTTCCCAGATGTCTTCTGAAACACACATTTCTAAGAGATGTCACCCTAACCAAGATCTCAGGGAGACTGAAAAGTCACTCCGGCTTCCAACTGTTTCTTTTTCTTTTCTTTCTATTTTACATGTATGGGTGTTCTGCTTGCATGCACGTCTGTGAATCATGTGCATACAATGCCCACGGAGGCCAGAAGAAGATGTCAGGTTCCCTGAGACTGGCGTTAAGGACAGTTTGGATAGTTAGGGTTGACAGAAATTCCAGCCACACCCCCATGATCGGCATGCCCCAGCGGGACACTTAGTCATTTCGCCTAGTCATTTCCGGGTCATATGTCCTACGTAACCCATGCGCTGCGAGGTCACGTAAATCACGTGCTGCATGAGCACGTGAACGATGAACATTCGTGGACTAGCCACATGGGCCTGTGTGGGCACATGCTCGGGGTGGCCCTTAAAAGGCAGGCCCCATATCCCCCCACCTCCTCCCTGACCCCCACCCCCTTCCCTCACATGTCCTTTCAGCCTGGACACATCTATCCCTTTTCCCTTTCTCAATGAAACTCTTTCTAGTGGGTTCTGTCATGTTTTGTGACTTTTCCTTGTAGGGTAAGAGGGCCGCTAAAAAAACCATCAAAGGTGCCTTGTGGGTGCTGGGAATCAAGCCCTGGTCCTCTGGAAGAGCAGTCAGTAGTCTTAACCAGTGAGCCGTCTCTCTTGCCCCCAACTGTTCCTTGATCTAAACTACTTTGAGCCCAGAACATCTGCACTCAGATCTGAGTCTGGAAGCAAGCAGGATCAAAAACCAAGTCAGAATCTCTAGTCCTTGGGTGGGACCTATAGTCTCCAGGCAGCTATCAACGCCTGTGACAAGTCCTTGGGAGGAGGGGAGTGGACCAAGTGCCCTTGACTAGTGGCCTCTAGGCATTTCCCAATGACAAAAGTGGGCTCTGGAATCCTAGGGCAGGACAGGAAGGGAGGAGGGGGAGAATGTTCAGAATAATAATGGACTTTTGATAATTCGTCAGGTAAGTCATCCACCGAAAAGCAGCGGAACAAAAGCTGGGGAACCTGGGTAAGGAATTGTCTTCCTGGGAGGTAAAGGAGTCAACAGGGTTGGGGGCAGGGAAGACTTATCCATCCCTCAGGCACTACAGAGCCTGAAATCAGCCAGTGACACCAAGTGCCAACACGCACAGAGCCTTAGGTCTGACCCTCTGTTACAGGGCTCCACTCTGGCCAGACACAGATACCACAACCGTAGCTAAAGACACACAGCACTCCATGAAGAAGGTTCAGAGAACAACCAAAACAACCCTCCCGAAAAACACCTCCCCGGCCTGCCCCAGCGTCAATCAGCTGCACAGCAACCACACACTTGCCAAAGACTTCTCTATCTGGTAGTTCATTGAGGAACTGTCAAGTAGCACAGTCACCACAAAAGGTTAAAGTAAGCTCTGGG